TGCGATCCAACACCCCTCCTCATGACGAACTTACCCTGTGCGATCCAACACCCCTCCTCATGATGAACTTACCCTAGCGATCCAACACCCCTCCTCATGACGAACTTACCCGATGTGATCCAACACCCCTCCTCTCAGGCCTCCTGAACAGTTTGGAGTTTAGAGGAATAAGCTTCCCCCACCTTTCAACTCCGATGCCTTCTTTTAGAGAATTTGAATTAATGGGAGAGGAGTGAAGGTGTCTTGGGAAACAAAATTTCTAGCATATGTTTTTTGTGTGAATCATTCAACAGACATTATTAAGTACCTACTCAATCTTGAGGATGCTATTCAAAATCCCTCTTTACCCCTAATTCTTCTCTAAGGACTTTTGAGACCTTTTGGTGAGGTTTCTTATGATCAAAAATTAACCAGAATTTGTGGCATTACTTTCTTGATTCACAAAGACTGAACATATATTGAAAATAAAATATGACAATTTGTCATTTTAAAATTTATCATGTTAAATCAGGCCAGTCCTTTGACAGATTATTGAGCTGTGGCATGGAATTAATACCTTGCTTTGTTTTTTCAACCATTATTTTATATTTTCACAATACTTTGCTTTATTTTATAATGTTCTACAGTTCCCAAAAGAAATTATTTTTAGACTAAAACATTGATTGTTATTATGAAAGAAAGGGAGATACACAGAGAGGCAGGGGGACATAGAGGGAGAGACAGCAAAAGAGAGACAGAGAAAGTGTCTCAAATGATTCTTGGTAAAATGTCTAGAATTTATGCCATTTATAAGCATTATTTTGAGTATGGCTTCAGTCCAGATGTTATTAATGTGTAGCCCTTGCAGTGATGCCCTCAAGCCCTTAAATTTTCCCCAAGTTCCCAGCAGATTACTCTTGAGCATTGATTTGATTTCTAACACCTAACAAACTAAAAGTTGTCAGAAGAAGTTTACTCTTTAGATGCTGTAGGCAAATATTGGTTTTGAAAAGGTACTTTACAAATTACAGAAATTTTGGATTTTTTTTTTTAGTAAATTGGTAACAGTTTATAAGAAAAAAATTTAAAACCTTTCTCTCTTCTTAGGGTACTTTTAAAATCAGGGTATCACTTTTCTCTTAAATCTGAATTATTTTCTATATCGTGATTAGAGAAACCAATCATGTAAAATCATTAGAAAGAAAATAGTTTCTCGAGGAACTGACTGTAGTGTGGTTGGTATTTTGTTATTTTACTTTAAATGTTAAAGCAATCTGTGGTAGGATTATGGATCGATTCAACTTTCTATCTTTGTCTCTGTCTCTGACTTTCTGTCTATCTCTGTCTTTGTGTCTGTCTGTCTGTCTGCCTGTCTCTCTCCTATAACATACTTCAGGCAGATTTAGGAAATACAGTTCTGTTGAAATAATGTTCTTATGTCTTCCAATGAGAGTAGCTTCAGAACTGAATGTTTGCTAATGGGACCTCTCTGCCAGGACAGCTTCTGTCTCCACTGTCAATGCCTCCATTGTCTCCAGTGATGGGGGGACTTCCTTAGAAAAACCCACTGTTAGAGGATTACAGCCTATCATAGATAAGGCCCCCCTTGCCACCTCATAAGACCTGAATACATTTAAAAACAATTTTAGTGTTAAATAACAATTGCAAGTGAGTATTTTTTTTAATGTTTAGATAATCAAAACTGGTTTCACAGCTTTATCCTAGAAAATACTGCCTACAGACTTTCATAGTCTCCCTGGCATTTAAGCTTGAGAATGGCGTAATCTTTTCTTTTCAATAAGCAAACATGGTCTCGGGAAAACTTAAAGATGCAAATAAATATAAATGTTAGTGTTGTTTCTATTAAAGGGTAGAAACATTGGTGTCCCCATTTTTCTATATTGACAAAAGTGTTGTTTTTAGATACAAGAGGTGATGAAAGATTCATTTCAAATCTTCTTTCCATATTTTAGGCGAATTCTGCAGAGAAACTTAGGGAATACGGGCTTTCCCACACCTGTAGCCACCCTGTGCTGGTGACCAGAAGTAGGTCTTGTCCCCTTGTGGCACCCCCCAAACCTCCTCCCTTACCTCCCTGGAAACTCATTCGCCACAAAAAAGAAACGGTCATAACAGATGAAGCTCAAGGTATGTGTCATGTTGCCTTACGGTCTAATTTACACTTCTCTGGGGGCTTACCAGTGTCTCCCATGGAGGATGGTACGTGCGGAGGTAAGCCACAGAGCCCTGCACCCAAAGCTACTCAACTCATGTCCAAATTATATATTTAAAAAATTAAATGTGCATCCTGTACTTTGGCCTGGTAGACCCATAGTGGCAGTGGACTATGCTAGGGCTCATCAGATAGTTGTCTTTCCTCTATTAGGTTTAATATATGATCAGAGTGACTTTGCTACCGATCTGAGCCTTGTTTCTTTTCCTGTTCAACTTCGGAGTTCACCGTAGTGATGTGTGCTGCTCTCCTTTCTCAATGGGAATTTCTTACTCCTAAACTACCTTAATACTTATGCATACACACAGTCCAATCTCAATCCACTGTTTCCTTGCTGTTCATGGCACATTCTGCTCTTCTTCCGCTGTATCTTATGAACCAGCTCATATTCCTCTGCATGTCCTAAGTGGCTGTGTTGAGGTTGTTAATTGGGGGGCACCATTTTTTAAAGAAAACATTTATATAGAAAGTCATCCTTTCACTTAAAGCATCAGCAAATGCAATGACTTGTCTAACCTCACCAGCTGAGATATATTGTTCTGCTCTCAGCCTTAAAAGAAGCTGGCTATGGGCAAAAGAAAGCTAACATTGGCAAGATCTGTAAACTATTTCACTTAATAAAATTTGAAATGTCTCTGTTCATTCCTATTTAACTCTTTTGAAATCTCTGGGTAAACATGTGCTCTAACCAGCACTGCATTAGATTCTGAAGGATTCTGGAAGTGTACCTCACACTTCCCCACTGGAACTTTTCAGATGCTGTACCAAAGAAGCCCGAGCAGTTCCTTGAGATTTCAAGTCCATTTTTGAATTATAGAATGACTCCATTTACGATTCCAGCAGAAACGTAAGTATAAGACACTTTCTCCAGTACATCTTAACTTTGCATCTGTGATGTATGTGGTTAAAAAACACACTTAATAGGAAGAATATTTAGAGAACATCAAAGCCAAAAATACATATGCATATTCTCACAGCCTATTAAAGGAGATGCCTTTTAGCTCATGATTACATCATTTCATTTATTATCAAGCATTTTTGTTTATATTTTATTTATGAGTATTATAGGATAAAAGTTTGATATCCCCCTAAAATGAAATGCTGAAGTTCTAACCCTCAGGTGGCTGGGTTTGTTAGAAATGATACTTAAAGGTATTGTATGAGTTATATGGTTAAATGGTTTAAAGGTTATATGGGGCTCTGATCTGTTAACTTCTGTCTGTGGGGAGTTTCCATGAGCTCCTGGTCTTTTCCATAAATTAAATATATGGATACAGAATGCCTGCAAGCAGGAGTCTTATTTAGAAAAGGAAGCAAAAGTGTGCATGACTCTTTTACTGAGGAAGTCATGGAAGTGGTTGCCTGCACAAGATAAAAGCAGTAAAAATTGCATCATGGGTAAGGGAAGCTCACCAGGCCCAATCCCTAGCTGAGGAGCATTGGCAGTTGATGGCTGAGGGAGGAAGAGTCATTTTTCTTTGCTGGTATGGACTCTGGTTGGTTGCCAGAGTCGATGGCCCCACAGCCATAAATATGGGCAGTGATTTCTGAACTCAGTGGATTCTCAATAAAAAGAAGAAGACATTAGGTTATGAGGGGGAGCTTTCTAGGTGTAGTCGGAGGAGGGGAGGGGAGGGGAGGCAAATATGATCAAAATGTATTCCATGAATGTATGAAATTCCCAAAGAATAAAATTAAGTGTTCACACTAGAAAGCAGCACGGCTGACCTCATCATGAGTGAGAACCGTGCTGGGGAAGGCTGAGGTGGCATTTTTGTGAGTTAGTGAATGTTAATGGAGGGATTATTTTAGATGGAAGCTACTAAAGTATCTCTTCATCTGATATAAATTAGACCTTGAGGTTTCATCAGCCGAAATCATAGGCAGCTGGTGGCTGGAGTCAAGATCTGTGCACAGTGGGATCAATTTTCTCATAGACTGGTCATTTAAGAGCAACGTTGCAGGAATGCACATGCCCTAGAGTTAGGTGGCTAAATGTGGGTTTTAATGTCTGGGAGAGTATTCTGTGAGCAGGCTAGTTACCCCTTTGGACTGAACAAGAGGAATTCACAGTTGATCTCATTAGCAGCAAAAAGAGGGAATTTAATGATGGGTTTGTCCATTTCCCCTGACTCCTGATGCCTGCCTAGAAACCCTTTCTCATTCACTACTCTCAAAATACTAGAACACAAAAATAATCCATCCACTTTGTAGCAGTGACAGCCTTTCCATTATCGACCAGTAGCACCTCATTTTTATATGAGACTTTACTATTCTGTTAATCGTTGTCTTTACCTCCCATATTTGCACCAACATAATCTTGAAAATCATTTACATATTTCCTGAAATTGGGGCTTTCTCTACTCTTTCCTGTTCTTTATGTTCTAGCACCTAAATCATCTTTAACAAGACAGAAATGTAGGCATTTTTATAAAGTTCCTTAAAACTCTTCTAGCCTCTACCCAGTTCTAAAACAATATCCACAGTTTTAGGTAGTTGTGGCAACAACTGGATTCTGACCATTCATTTCCTGTTTGGTTGTGGACTGTGGAAACAAAATATCATAAACCTGTGAGCATACATACATCTAGGTCCTGGAAGCCTGGGAGTTCAAGATCAAGATGCCAGTTCATCTAATATGTGGAAAGGACCCATTTCCTTAATTAGTCTGCCTCCTAGTGTGCTGAAAGTGACACCCAACCTCCCAGGAGAGCAAAAGTCTCTTCAATAAAGTCTTTGTTTTCATCCCAATGGCCTCCCATGGTCCGCTCCTAATACTGTCGCCACAGGATGAGCACAGGAACTTGACTTGAACTCACATTCAGAGCATAGCATTCCCTGCCCCTTTGTGAAGCCATGTGCCCAGCTCTTCCCCAAGAGGACAACGCATGGAGCTGTTAAAATACGTTTCTGGCTTTTATTCCCTCTCTGCATGAAAATCTTCCAAATATCTATTTCTACGTGTTTATCTTACTGTTAGCTTTCTAGATATATGGAAGAATATTGTGTGATTTATTTTCCATTCCCTCTGCATTTTTCAGTTGAAAAAAAGTTTTGTATCAATACTGTAAAATTTTGATATTTACTACACAATACCAAGGATTTCACAAGTGCTTCTACTCAGTACATATTGAGTGAAAAATAATTTGAGGCATCTAAGTCATTCATAAGCTTTTTATTATCTTTTAATTTGATAGTTGTAGTCACATGTAACTGCATATTTGACTTATTTGGGCACTTCTTAAGATATTTTAAATTTTGGAAACATTTTATTAGAAATATTGAATAAAAGAAATTGCCTTCCTCAGGGAAGAGCCCCCCCCCCCCGCCACTCCAACTGGTTATCTAAAATCAAGTGGTCAGCCTTGAAATCATATACAGACAATTAACATTATGTAGACTGAGCAGGTTGTATTTCTATATTTAGGAATATACATGCACATATTTAGGCATCTATGTGTTGCTAGAGTTTTCCGCCTTGCCCACAGTCAGGACAAATCTTTGTCACCCGCCAGTCCCACAGCCGCTCAGACCCAACCAAGTAAACACAGAGACTTATATTGCTTACAAACTGTATGGCCGTGGCAGGCTTCTTGCTAACTGTGCTTATAGCTTAAATTAGTCCATTTCCATAAATCTATACCTTGCCACGTGGCTGGTGGCCCACCGGCATCTTCACATGCTGCTGGTCATGGCGGCATCTGGCAGTCAGTCCTTCTGCCTTCCTGTCCTTTTATTTCTCCTCTCTGTTAGTCCCGCCTATCCTTCCTGCCTAGCCACAGCCGATCAGGTTTTATTTATTGATCAATCAGAACAACTTGACATACAGACCATCCCCCAGCACAGCCAAGTGCAGACCATCTCAGACACCTGCACTCAGGCCCATGGTCCTAATCATCCTCTATGCGGACCTGCTGGGTAACGCCACAAAGAACCCAAGAAGGGCTCCTACAGGACATACAGAACATCCCACAGCACTATGCATATATCTTTAGTATGAATTTGAGAGAGCACAAGGGATTGCACCTATAGTCAGAGAGCCGAGACGGATGGATGCTGGTGCTCAGCTTCTTCCTCCTTTACGTTCAGTCTAGGACCCCAGCACATGAATTGATGCTGTCTACAGCTATGTTACCTCAGTTTAACCCAATTGAGAAACTTCCTCACAGACATCCTCAGAAGTTTTTCTCCTTAGTGATTGCAGATCCTGGCAAATTGACACCATTAATCATCACAGGCTGTGGTGGATGAATATGCTATCAGATAGACTTCAATCTTTCCTAGGATACATCATGGGCCGTCTCCATGATAGAAATAGAAACTGACAAGAAAAAAAAAGCAGTCACAATTTAAATACTCAACTCAGTGTACGTTCTACGGTTAGGCACACTTCATACCAAAGCCAGTTAAAGTTAACTTACACTGTCTTACTCTGGTTAAGTTTTCTTAATTTTCTTTGTTAGCGCACATTATCTTACTCCGTTTAATTTTAACATATCAGGCACATTCTCAACATCATTTACTCTTCTTTGTGTTTCTGTCATGTTTGGGGGAGTTTATTTGTTATTGTTGTTGTTGTTTTCTTTTTTATTAATGCTTCATAGTGTTTCCAATTACTTTTATACTGAAAGTTCTCCAGAGAAACAGAGTCAATATATGTATGACTAGATGATAGCTGGATCAATGGTATAAAAGCCAGGTAACTTCTTGGATGACATAGAGAACTAGGAAGCCATCAGTGTAGCTATCCAAGTCTTAGAAGTACAGGAAGCAACAATGTGACTTTCATTTAGCCGAAGGATTAGGGATGCCACTGTACAAGTCCTGGAGTTCAAAGGGCAGACCCCTGGGGTTGTAATGTCCATGAGCAGGGAAAGAATAATCCACAACAGTAGTTCCTGACCTTCCTAATGCTGCAACCCTTAAATAGTCTCTCGTGCTGTGACTCCCAACCATAACATTATTTCATTGCTTCAAAACTGTAATTTTGCTACTGTTATGAATTATAATGTAAATATATGATATGCGGGATATTTGATAGGGGGTTGCAACCCATAGGTTGAGAACCATTAGTCCAGGCAGTAGAAAGTAGTCATTTTTCCTCACCTGTTGTGTGCTATTTAGGCCTGCTGTTAACTGGACAGTGCCTATCTATGCTGAAGGCAGAATTTTCCCACTCTGTCCACTAATGCCCATGTTAATCTCCTCCAGACGTCCCCTCATAGACCCCCTCAGAAGTGATACTTTACCAGTTACCTAGGCACACCTTAGTCCAGTGGAGTTGACACTGGAGATTGTTCATTACATCTAAGATTTCAAGTTGCCATTCAAATATACTTTGCAATCTTTGATCTTTCATATGACTGTATTTACATACTAATTAAAGATTTATATAAAAACCTGTAGCTGCTTGACACCAGAATACATTTTTCTGTTCTTCTAACTCTTTTGGGGGCCTGCCACCCAGCTCTTAAATAAATCACATATGGAGGCTGATACTTAATTATAAATGTCTGGCCTTAGCTTGGCTTATTTCTGGCTAGCTTTTTTTTAACTTTAAATTATGCCATCTATCTTTTGCCTCTGGGCTTTTCCTTTTCTGTTCCTGTATATCTTTCTTTGTTTCTTACTCCATGGCTTGCTGTGTAGCTGGGTGGCTGACCCATGGAGTTGTCCTCCTTCTCTGGATACTTCTTTTTCTTTCTAGATTTCTTCTTCTGTTTATCCTCTCTGCCTGCTAGTTCCCACCCCATTTCTCTGTCCTGCCTCACTATTGGCCATTCAGCTTTTTATTAGACCATGAGGTGTTTTAGACAGGCACAGTAACACAGCTTCACAGAGTTAAACAAATGCAACATAAACAAAGTAACACACCTTAAAATAATATTCCCCAACATATTCCTGTATATATTTGCTATATGGCTTATATCATTATACCAAGCCTTTAAGAATCTATATGTTTATAAGGACAAAAATGGATTGATTTCATAGCCCGAGTTCCCTGAGTTACTCCCATACCTGATTTACTTCTTTTAGCTTTAATATTTGATTAAGATAGATAAAATTCTAACACCCAGAAACAGGCAACCATCATTTGATTGGTTTCCACTAATCTATTATTCTCTGTAATCTGTTATGAATTCATTCCCATATCCAAGCTCTGCGTCAAAGCCAAAGCCAAAGGCCCGTGAATGCCATTGCACTCTCTGTGGAAGACATGTCATAGATTCTGCTGTACAGTCAGATTTCTCGTGTTAGCATAAGAGCAATCAACAGGGAGAGTGACTACTGTCATGATTGCCTTTCATTGACATTCCACTCCTGTAACAGCAAGCTTGCTCATTCTTGGCTCATGATTTTATGAGACAATTTGAGCCTCATAAATATGTTTCTGCTACCCTCTAGTGGAAGTTGTATGTAAGTAAGAGAATTCAATCTGAACATGGGGTGGGAGATCCTAGTTCATGAAGTCTACATGAGTAAAAATGATTTTTCTTTTGCTTCTGAGACAGGATCTCATTATGTGGCCCTGGCTGACCTAGAACTTTCTATGTAAGCCAGGCTGGCCAAGAACTCACAGAGATCCACCTGCCTCTGCTTCCTGCATGCTGGGATTAAAGGCATATGCCCTGCTATATGTGGAGAATTTGATTTTATCTTTGAAACAGTTGTATAAAATACAAATATTATGATAGACATCTCATGTGCCAATGTGATTCATGCTACAATGATACTGTTTTGGACCATGTCAATGACTTCTTGAGGAAGTTACTTGGGTAGAGACTGTGAAAATCACACTTAGAAGCTAAATGCTCATAGTTCAGGATTAAATGTCCCACACCAAGATGTTTTATCCACACACACTCTGCTAGTTCCACTAATGCTGTAATCAAATCCTTTATTTTAATCCACAATTCACATCTTTGAAACAGTGTTCCTGGAAAACGTTTACAGCAATACATCGACTGATAGAGTGGTGGTCTAGAAAGTAGTTTCAATATTATTCAGAGGGGTCTTGTGAAGCGCTTTTCTAAAACTTCCTTGTAAAAGGAGAAGAACAAACTTAATGGAACCAGAACTTTCTCTTGTTGACAAAACTAAGCATATTCATGAATCACTGTAAGTCAGAAGTGGCAGTAACAGAAAGTTTTGTGGGTTTTTCTCCGCTAGGCATTTCGTACAATCTGTTGTTAAGAAAGGGACACCTCTGGGATCCGGCCTTCCTCCCCTCGTGGAAAATGAGTTAAGTGCAAGCACCAGCCAAGGCGAGATGAGCACAGTAACAGGAAACCAGTCTCAGGTACTGACTCAACCCTGAATCGGGCAAGATTTATCTTAAATAGCGAACTCTCTTGTATCTGCAAAGTGTGCACACTCCACATCTCAGCAACATAAAGAATTCCATTAAACCCCGCACCTCGTGTATTTGTGGTGAAAGTCCCCCATGTGACCCTCCTGGTTCACACTTACTATATACTGTGAAACAAGCTGCATGCTTTCCTAATTTTGGTAATTGTGCATATACTTATTATTGTTCATTTTCACTTTACAGGTTAATGTTACATTGCAAACTATTCCTGCAAGAGGTAAATTAGTCATCCCCTCATGTCTCTGCTTCCCTACAGATAACAAAACACACAAGAATCTTACTTCTAAACAGACTTAGTTTTCCCTTCTCCCACATCATCCTCTCCTATGATTTACTAATTTTAATCTACTCCAGACTAGAAACATGTGATAATTTCACAGGTTAAGTTCAAACTAAAATAGAAATGGAGGAAGAAATTAAGGGTCTGTGAGTAAAGTGCATGTGATCATTTTATTTTGTTGTTTTATTTCATGTGAGACAGAGTCTTGCTAAATTGCCCAGACTGTCCTTCAACTCACTGAGGTCCAAGTTGGCCTCAATCTCTTAATCCTCTAGGTCACTGAGTTTACAGGTGGATGCCCACAAATTCATGCCTTTTAATGCAAGAGTGTTGTGGTCCAAATACTGAAAGCATTGCCAGTTCCTGTTACTAACTAAAGACCTAGCCAAGACTAAAATCCAAAAGAAATGTCACATACATGTATATAAGATGGTTCAAGATTCTACATGAGTTTGGTGACAGTTTTTGACAAATATAAACTGTGGTTATACAGTCACTGAGTTGAGTAACTAAAGGGCTGGCTGAACACATCGGGGCAACAAACCTGTCATATTTTCACTTTGCCTTCTATACTCAAGACTGTCCCTCCTCCCTCCTTTTTTTTTTTTCAAGACGTAGTTTTTCTGTGTAGTTGTGGCTGTGCTAGAACCAGGCTGGCCTCAAACTCACAGAGATCTGCCTCCCTCTGCCTGGGACGTTCCCTTCTTATAAGCATCTCTCTGAAGCAGATTTTAAGAACATGAGCTAATTAATCTCTGTCATAAAAAACATGTCCCCAAACTTACCAGAGAGATTTTAAGTTTCCTGAATTATAAAGTTCGAAGTGTGTGACCTATATCTTCACAAACCTTAAACCTACATAGAAGTGATAATCTCACTGATTTCCCCTAACTGGGATTTGAATTTGAAACACCCTCTGCCATTCATGTCTCCACACTTTAACAGCCTGCCACTTAACAGTGTAAGATATGCTTGACCTAGTTGTCCTCTCCCCTTCCCAGATGAGCAGACAGAGCTGATACTGGGGGACACCCACCCACCTGAGGGGTTAGAAAGAGATTTGATTAGCCTGACCACAGCGACACAGGACAAGTCACAGGAGGACTTGGGAACAATAAGTGAAGGTGCTTCCAAAGAAATGTGGTTAGATTTTGAAGACTTTTGTGTGTGCTTTCAGTAAGTATTCAAATGCCATGCAGCTGACTAGATTCTCCTAAACCATACAGGTTCACAGTAGGGTCTGTTTCTGCATATGATTGGTCATATGATCTATTGATTCTTAACTATCATTCAAAAGAGGAAAGTAAGTATCAGCTGGGAGCTAGCATACTGTCAAATACATTTTTTTTCTTTTTGTTGAAAATAGATTCTTCTTTCATACAATACATCCCAACCACAGTTTCCCCTCCTCCCACTCCTCCCAGCTCACCACAGCTCCCTCTCCCCCAGATCCTCTTCTCTCTCTCTCTCTCTCTCTCTCTCTCTCTCTCTCTCTCTCTCTCTCTCTCTCTCTCATTTCCTTCTTAGGAAAGAGCAGGCCTACAAGAGACAACAGCTGAAAAGAACAAAACAAGAGAAATTAGGAGAAGGCAAAAACCCTCATATCAAGGCTGGACAAGGCAATCCAATGGGAGGAAAAGAGTCCCAAGAACAGGCAAAGAGTCAGAGCCACATTGGCTCCCACTGTTAGGAGTCCCACAAAAACACCAAGCTAACAGCCGTAACATACATTCAGAGGACCTGGCACAGACCCATGCAGGTGTCGTGCTTGCCCCTTCAGTCTCTGTGAACTCATGTGAGCTCTGCTTAGTTGATTTGGTAGGCCATGTTCTCCTGGTCTCCTCCATTTCCTCTGACTCCTACATTCTTCCCCCCCACCTCTTCTTTGGGGTTCCTAATCTCTGAGGAAAGGAACCCAATAGAGACTTCCAATTTAGACTCTTCCTTCACATAATGTCAAACTGTGGGTTTTTGTACCTGCTCCTATATGCTGCCTGAAGAGAATAATGAATGCATTGAATATCCATCCACATAGCATATTAGGAACCAAACTCAATTCTAGTCAGGCTCAGTTCCTTCTCAAATTCTTGTTAGTTAAGATGGATTTTCCCCCAAGGAGATTATTTTGTCTTTTTAGAACAACAAATGCAGCAGTTTTTTTAAAGAAGTTTTTCTGCCTATAATTATTTAAGTCTAGAAAGCTAAACAGATAGTACAAGTTTTGTATCTAATGGCAATAACTATTATAAATGTTCTCTTTTCTAGCCACATATATGTTTTCCACAAACCAAGTTCTTATTGTCATAATTTTCAAAAATCAGAATTCAAGGTAAGTACATTAAGCTCTCCTTTTTATGTGAAGGTTTATGTAGAGTGACCTTACTTAAACATACCTTTAAATGTCTCGAGTTTTTCTAAATCTTTACACAATTATATTTGATGCATCAATGTTCGGTTTTTTAATCATCCTTTGTCTAGACCATAAGCAATGCTTAATTAGTTTGTATCCCAGAGTCATCCATATGGTTGGGATATAACTGAGATAATGTATATAAAACACTTAGAAGAGTACCTATCACAAAATGATGACATATGTTGGCTGTCACTTATAAAATAGAGTTCACACTTTTTGAAACCCATCAATCTTTTTAATATATGTGCATATGTAGTGACATGGTCAACTGTTCTTTGTTCTAATGTTGTTTTTTAAAGTGATGGTAAATAATAATATTTTTCCTTTAAAAATGTCAACTTAGCAAAATAAAGTGACTTGCTTATATAACTTTCACTCCCGTGAATGTTTATAATATATATGGCTATGAGAAAATGATAGTTTTTTTAGACATTGGAGCTCAAAGTTTCCCATGCAACCTGAGAGGACAGGTTGGCTATGGTCTGAAGCCAGGCTTTCCAGCTTTAGTCACTGGTCCTGCCAGCTTAGCACAAAGCCAGTGGCCACAGCACACCTCACAGATATTCTCTTAATGCTCAGTGTGAGGACAGGTAAGAGACCTTTGAAAGTCATTCATGAATGGCTTTGGGGACCACCAATGCCCCAACTGCTAAACCTTCAAAAATGAGCCCCTTGCAGAGACTATTAATAGACACATGTTGGGCTGGAAGATCCAAGGTCCTTCACACTCAAATAGTGAGTATTTGAAACAACTGTCAATAACGTTTATATGTTGCTATGTTGCAGTTTAAAGGAAATATAAAATAAATTGTTGGATGGTAACTCATAGAAAATATTGGAGGAGGCAGTGATTTAGATCTTGTGCCAACATTTCTAGCAATTGTTTCATAGTTTATTGAATAACAAGTTTTCCTTTTTTACAGTGTGACTAGAGATTCATCATTCCTATACTAATTGGTTGTTTAGATGTTGTGGTAAAGTAGCACCTCTGTGACATACTTCTACAGCTTAGTGACAACTAGATTTGTTGAGTATGCCCTTGCTTGCCGTCATTCAAAATCACATTAAAGAACTGTGAAGTGGAGAGGTAATAACAAGGCAGTGGTCAAAGTCAAGCTTGGTTTTCAACCCGGGCTTTGCTGCTTACAAACTTTGTGCCTTTGGCAACCCACTCATCCTGCTTTGCATTTTCTTGGGAATTGGGACTACTCATAGTTCCCTATAGAATGCACTGAAGTCCTAACTATGTAGCCGTATATGACTCTTTCCAAAGAACTCTGATCTGACCAATCACTTTATCCCTAAAACAAAACCTCACCCTGGACACCAGCAAGCCAGGTTATATTTCTGAAGATCTTGTGAGAAGAATGAAAAAAGAGGGTTTTGGGGGGGACTCCCTTTTCCCATGTTACACCCTGCAAAATGCCCAAATGAATCCCTATTAGGCAATTCCATTTGGTACCATGCTCAATCTGTGCCTTCTTGCTGGTCTGTAGCCAACTTTCTGCCCTCAGCCTGCTCTCTTTCTCACCAACTTCATTTCTGGAACTGGCACTTCCCCTAGTTTTGTTTATGGAGAAGAATTTTCTCATTTGGCAGCCAGACTCTCTGAAGCCCAAAACCCAGCAGCCACAGATTTGCTTCATCTTATTAGACCTGTAATGTATTGGTTGTGGTCCATAGCATGCCGTAAGTTTCTCACTCTGTGAACTACACTGCCACTAACAAGGTGGACTGGTAAGCTTGATGACTGGTCTGATTTCTTGCAGTTCTCAGAGGAACGGGTGCCCTACTATCTGTTTGTGGACAGCCTGAAGCCTATTGAACTACTGGTTTGCTTTTCGGCTTTGGTGCGCTGGGGGGAATCTGGAGGTAAGAGGGTTCTGAGAGTGCGATCGTCTGGATGCCCAGAGCACAGGTGGGCTAGGGAACATGTAACAATAAGACTTTTGGTCAACAGGTGATGAAACTGCCTTGGCAGCTGTCAAGAGGTACAAAGGACTGCCCCTGCCACCACCTCTGCTGGCCATGCTCCTCCAGCACTGCAGACCGTGCTGACTCATGCCACCTGATTCTCTGTTGGTCACAGTCTCCTGGTCACATCCCTGGCATGCTCAGTCTTGCTTTTCTTCTCACCTCTCCTTGTCATCATTCTTTTTTCTTTGTTGTTTGATCTGACAATGATCAGAAATGGTCTTTTCTTTAGCCCGTGTTGGCTTCTTCTGTGACTTGTAGCCCCCTTTCCCCTCAGGTCACGCACTGGAGGCTTGTCCCTCAGTGTGACAAAGTTCAGTTAGAGAGATCTTTATGTGTTAGAGGTTTATGGGAAATGACTGAGTCCTTAGAAGTGCTGCACATGGATTGTGTTAATGCTGGTCTCAGACTAAATTAATTGAATAAATTCTTTCTCCAGACTCTCAGCCTTATAATTCTTGACTCTAACAAGCCCTCTAACCATCTATGCTATAGCGTTCTCTATAGGTCCATCACTCTTTTTGTGACCTCTTTCCTCCTATTCCAGTATAAGTTCTCTGGACAACAACTGCATTTATATTCCTTTGTGTATCCTGCGAGACATGCCCAGCCTTTTGATGTAGTGACATCTACAAAGGCCATTCTAGGGAACATGCAATCCACTTCACAGAAACAAAATCTCATAATGTTTTAGGTAAGGGGATGATTTTGTGTTAGGCTGCAGACATATGTTTAGCTGCATGTGGCCCAGGGACCACAGGTTGAACATGCTGGCTAGTAAACACACTTGCCCTTACCTCTTTCCATCTCCCTTTCATGATAAGCATTCCAGTATTAAACTCAACTCTCTGCTGAGTCTTTGGCTGCAAAAGAGCATCTGAATATGACTGGGCAAAGGAACACCCCTCCTGGCCAGCCCACTCAACACTGAGGAACACATATCTCAGCAAGGAGCCCCCACTCGCCCCCCCCACACACAGGCAGTCCCTAGAGGGCTTGTTCTGCCACTCTTCTCACTAAAGACTACTTCAAACTTGAAGTCTCCCTTCTTCAAGTCTTTCACATCTACTCTTATTCTCCTTCATTTTCAGTTGAAAGCTGTGTTGCTGATTTCAGTGAGAAAAACTCCCCGAGGTCCTAACAGGCCTTGCTGCTTTCTTTAGTGGGTGGATTTCCCTGCTTGTACAGACCATCTGACACATACACATAATCATTCTTTGACTCTTTGGCCTATTTTGTTAAAGCTTATCTTTGAGTCAAGTTAACCATGTCACAAATTATAGCTGGTCAACAAACATCTCCCAAATACTCAGGAATTGAGTATTCTGACAATATTAAAGGTGAGGGCTTTTGTGCTTCAGTTTGAATCCCAGTTGTCTTGAATGGTAAATATTACATGACAGGTGTCAAATAAATATCCATTTAATAAACTTTCTGAAATGTAGCGATCTCGGGTTAATACATCTCCTTTGCTAACTGCTCTGAAGCCCTCATCTTCTAAGACACTGAAATTCTACATGCATGAGGACACTGTGACCATGCACCTTTAACCTGAGAGTTTTTTGGAAGAAAGGAAAAATTCATTGTGTTCTCACTCACTGATGAAAAATAATTATTGATGTACATTTAAAGGAAAACTTACTTGATTAAATTTTTGTTCCTTGCAGAATTTGAAAGACAAACGTTTAGCTAGACAAGGGAATATTTTGATTTTAATACCATCTTGGAAATCTCTTATCATTCTGGATACATTTTTCCCCATTAAAGTTGCATCTGGGAAGATAGTCTAATTGTGCACATAGGGGTGATAAATTAATAGTAGCCAACTATGATGAAATATATCTGCATGGCTTCCTTTTCTCAGTTTTCTCATCCTAGTTTCTCTGCCTGGGGAGATGATTATGAAGAGCAAACTGGACAGAGCAGCAGCTCCCTAGCTAAGCTAGGCGCTGTTTCCCATACTTCCATACTTAGCTTCTGGCATTTCGGGAATGCTTTTAGAATATCATAAATACCCGATTCACCTTCATGATTATGTCTGCTGCTGCCGAACAGAGAGCAGCACATGTGGAGGCTGGCTGTCCTTCCACAATCACGTTTCAACACATCTCCCTTCTCCTAAAGCCTTGACAAAAGACAGTCCTCCCGTGGAACCCGGCCTCCTGACAGCCGAAGCAATCACCTGGAAGTCTCTGAAGCCTCTCAGTGCAGTGTTGAGGATCCACACCTATGCCACGAAGGCCGCCATGGTGCGCCTGCCTGTCGGGTAGGGTCTGGCTTTATTTTCTCGTGTTTGAGTCTGTTTTAGACTGTTGACTAATGAAATAAGCAATGGAAGTTCTACATTATTGTTCTCCAAAGTGATTGGATAAGGCACTGTCTGTCATTGGGATTCTTGACAGAATATTCTACCAATGAATGACATTCTCAGGGCCACACTGGATGCTCTTTTGGAAGGCTCATTGTTGGGAGATCTGAGGCTGAATATGTAAAGAACATGGCTTAAACCTGCTTAACCCAGAGGTTTCTAAAATGAATCCATCAACAATCTCTCTCATGGGCTCATAATTCTTACTAGTCTTTTTAGCAAGAATTCTGTTTGATTTCATTTAAATTTGATTCCACTTGGATTGTAAAAGAGAATTTCTTCCCACCAACTGGAAATTTCACCTGTGGTGTGTCTTTGTTAGGTGTTATCTTTAATTATGGTAAAACTAGGCAAACACATCACATTTAGTATTTGCAGGTAATGGCACACAATGGACCTGTTTCCTTGATTTTAGTATGTAAAATTAGGAAGACTGTCTTGTATTTCAAATGGAAAATATTCTTACTAGATTTTTCCCACTGAAGTTCAATCTATGTGATCATGTGCAATCAGTGAAAAGTTATGGGCTATGTGCAGAAAGCAGATCCCAAGCAACACAATCAAATGCTAAAACTATGTGTGCTGTGCACCTAGAATTTCTAGAAAATAATAAAATTTAAAAAATCATCATTGCTCAATCTAGACTCTATATAGAGAGGTTCTCCAGAAATTAAATTAATTCCACGAGACTGTCTGACTCAGTGGTTCTCAACCTTCCTAATTCTGTGATCCTTTAATACAGTTCCTCATGTTGTGGTGACCCCCATCCATAAAATTATTTCGTTGCTACTTTATAACTGTAATTTTTACTGTTATAAGTAAGTCATAATGTAAAAATCTATGTTTTCCAATGGTGTTAGGTAACCCCTGTGAAAGGGTAGTTCTACCCTCAAGGAGGTCATGACCCACAGGTTGAGAACCACTGATGTAACTTGACACACCAAGGATACGGGATTTAAAAAGGAGCATCATACAGTTGCATCTCCCCTTACAGACCCCAAGCCATCAGTGTGTTCCAAGCATCCTCTTAAAAGTCTAAATAGCCAGTAACCAAGGAAAGTGATTGTCTCTGTTTTTAGTGATACAGACACTAGATAGGAAAAAGAGAATTCACATATATGAAATTATGTTTGTGAATCTGCAAAGCTCTATACTCACATGAGAAAAACATCTACAATCTTCTTTAGCAGCACAGTATGTGGAAGCATCTTCAGTGTGTGAAAGTTTGTCATTTTGTCTAATTATTTGTCTTCAGCAATGAGTAAAACACAGATTTCATGGTATCTGAGGGTGAGAGTGGAAATCCAAAGGTAGTTATCGCATCTGTGTATATATACATAAAACTCTTCACTAACTTTTGACTCCAAACTCTGATCAAGCAGCTAGCAGAAGTGGAATACATTCAACAGAAGAAGCATGGTCTTCACATAGTGTTCATTCTCTCTAGGAGGCATATGCTACTCTTCAATGCATATTCTCCAGTGGGACATGCCATACATGTCTGCAGCATGGTGGCATTTGTCATCGGGGATGAAGATGTTGTACTGCCCAACTTTGAGCCGGTAAATATCTTGGCAAACCTCCTACCTTCTCTCTGGTTTCAAAAGTTTAAACTCAATCTTATTTTGATCTTTTAACTTTATTTAGCTTACCCCTCTCCTTGTTTAACATATTAAACTATTCATATGCCTTTAAGAAAGGTTCAAATGTAATCTGTATAATTAACAGTCTAAAGTCTGCAAGGTTACAAACACAATTAATTCTTCACCAACTACTGTACCCACATCTACTCTGTGTAGTCTTTAATTTCTGTCACTATCTCGGGTAGATGCATTGTTCATTTGGAGGGATAAAGCACCACTATAGTCCTTTTGAATGCTGTTTATAATGTGAGCATTCCTTTCCTTTCCATCTTTTCCTTTCTCTGAGGAAATTAGAGTGTATCTCCAGGATTCAGAATATTCTCTGTGGCCTCCTGGAAACACTCATCACCTCTTCCTCTTCCCTCTCTCTTCTTGGTCTTTCCTCAGTGTCTCTTGCTCCTTTCTCTGCTCTGAAGAGAAAATGGGTGCAGCAAGTCCACTAAAAACTTTCTTTGTTTACAATGTCTTCTGTCTATGTGTGTGCCTAGGGGAGGTTAGAATTTGTATTTTCTGCTGTATGACTCCTGATACTTCCTCATCTCTAAGAACTGTAGTAGCATTTTCTCATTGGAACTTCCAGCCCCCAAATAACGGCACAGAGACGTATTCTTTATTATGAAAGATTGGCCTTAGCTTAGGCTCATCCCACTAGCTTTTATAACTTAAATTAACCTATTTCTATTAATACACATTCTGCCATGTGGGTTTTTGTCTCTCCATTCTGTATGTCCAATTCCCTCTGTGTCTCTGCTGGTGTAGATTCACTATTCTGAATTTCTCTATCTCCCTGTAAGTCCTGCCTAACCTCTTCCTGCCTAGCTACTGGCCATTCAGCTCTCTATTGAAGCAATCAGAAGGCACCTTGGCAAAGGCACAGTGTACAAAAAGATTATCCCACAGCAAATAACTCTCACTAGAAAATCAAGATGAAATAATCTAAAAACCCAAGAAAACAAGCTAAAAACTCCAGACAGAGCAAAGATGGCCTTCTCTAAGGTAGCCAGAATACCATGTGGCAACACAAGGGTTGAAGACTGGGTCTCTCCACCATGTTCTGACGGCCTAGACATGCTTGACTCATTCTCCCTAGCCTGTCTAGGCAGGACTCTACAAGCTTCCTCAAGGCTTTCTTCTATTGGTTGTGCTCTCTTCTCCATGTTTTTCATTCTGCTTAGTAGGCACTGAAGGAAGAACAACAAGTTGATCTCGTAGTTGGCCTTTGTTTCCCTGACTGTTCTTTGTTATGCCCAGATCACCGGGGACCCCCCAAAAGACCACCATGGAGACCAAATCCCATATGTAAAAGTAAAGAAGAGCCTTTATTCAAGTTCAAGCTTGATGTCCCATGCAGCAGTGAGAGGAGAGAGCCCTGAGCCTGGGCAGGGTAGGAGTAAGGAGATTTCCAGGGTTCAGGACCCTGACTGGCTGACATTTGTCTAGGGATATCTTGGTAAAATGAGGAAATAGGTCTGTGCTAGACTCAGGGACATCTGGTGATCTTATCTAATCTTAATGGTTGGAATGTTTGGGATGTCAGGTACTTCCCCTTAGATGGTGACCCATCCCTGGGTAGATCTCTGGGTGGTGTCTGCTTATGGATGTCCCTGGACTGGGTGTTGCCTCCTAATAAGCCTGTCACAGCAGCCGTGTCAGGGCCTTCAAGCCTGTTATGGTGGCTGTGTGGTCAAGCTGTTTTGGGCCCCTCACACTCTTGTTTTGTTTGTTGGTTGATTGGTTGGATGGTTGGTTGGTTGGTTGGTTGGTTGGTTGGTTGGTTGGCTGGCTGGTTTTTTGGAAGACAAGAGTTCATGATGTAACCCAGGCTAATCTGGAACTCAAAATACTAGTGCATCAGCTTTCTGAGTATCTCGGGTTACACACATGTGCTGCCATGCCTTGCTCTATCCTGCTTTTTTTCAGATTTTTCTTTAAAACAATTCTACTTATGTGCTGTGCATGATCCAGCTTGCAGAAGAATTAATTCCTGATGATTATTTTGTTGTGGAATTTCTTATTTCTCTGGTGGCATAATGCTCCTATGGTATAAGGGTTATTAGATTCAAGATTAATCTCTATTATGCTTAGATTCTAATGGAGGTGCACATGACATCCCCTTGCCCTTGAGCTGAGAGACCCTAACTCCTCAGAATCAGAACTAATCATTCTCAGAGCTGCTAGATAACTAGGTGAGTCCTCTGAGCAGTCTTACTTTAACTAGACCACCACTAAGATAAGGCCTTCCCCAGCACGGATACTTGGAATGATCATGTAGGTATTCAAGCATTGAGATGAGAAGACATCTGTGTGTTTGCCATCAGTTTCTTACCCAGCAGGGCATCTGTGGTGTTCAGGTATGTTTGCTGGGCCTACTCTCAGTCTTGTGGGTATCCATGGAGCATGGTTGAACTATGGCACCCTCTGGAGAAACAGTAAAGATGACTTAGTTTTCCTAACTTTCTTTAAGCAAGCATATGCTGCTCTAGACAATTCCTGGTACATACCAACCAGGACAGTCCTCAAACATCTCAGACTGTGTGGATTCTTGGAATCTCTATCAGCTCGGAGCTTTTACTCTTTCTTAGGATGGATCCTGGAAGGGGCCAGCAGCCCAAGCTAGTACACCCTCTGGTGGTTTTTGTTTGTTTGTTTGTTTTTGTTGTTGTTCTGTTTGTTTGTTTTATCTTGTAAGTCCCTCTCCCTGGAATCTTCTCTGCCCCTCAGTCCTCAAAATCCTAGTCTTTGTCAGCCTAACACCCTAAACATCCTTCAGAACTAACTCTGAGAATTAATACTATAGAGTTTTCCCTGACTCCACCATAGGGCTAGTGCTCCTCTGATGCAGTCCTTTTCATAGGCCTGATTCATGTCTTCCAGACCATCCAATAAAATGCTCAGTCCAGTCTATTCTCTACAAATGAAATAGCCTCGAATCAATCATATAGCCAAGGATTTTCTTCCCTAGTTAGAGGTTGAACATTTGTAAACTTGATTGCCCTTAAAGAGACATGAGGATGAATGCCACATGTATGCTCTGTCTTCACAGGAGAGCTACCGATTTACAGAACAGTCTCTAATAATTATGAAAGCTATTGGAAATGTGATTGCTAGTTTCAAAGACAAAGGTAAATTGCCTGCAGCTCTGAGGGATCTTCAAGCAGCTCACTACCCTGTCCCCCTCTACAACAAAGAACTCACTGCTCAACACTTCCGGGTAAGCAGTTCCAGTCCTCAGGCTCACAGCAGGAAACCTCCCATCTGAAAGATACCTTAGATGAACCCCAAATGCTGAGTCTGGGGAAGTGGGTTGCATGGAGACTATTTCTTTGGAAAGTGATTCCAGGAAGCAGAGAGGAATCTGGGGGAATAAGATGAGAAAGAGAGTGGAATTAATTAAAGAATACGATAATGAGTGCTATGGGCGACTGAGGCTCACTCATCCAGAGTCTCCCTAAAGGAGAGGAAACATTAGCACTCACCTAGCAGTGGTTTTTCAATAGTTCAATCTGCCCTCAGGAACATTAGCCGCCTCACTCTTAGAGACTTCTGCTGGGGCTGAGGTGTATTCTGGCTTCCTAGATAGCCCGCAGCAAAGGATATCAGGGTACTTCTGGTTGGCTCTCGAGGAAGAAAACTGAGAGGTACTGTCCCGCCCCAGCTGCATGGCAAGTGGGTGACATTTGTTTTTATTTGTTTTGTTCAATTTTTTTTTTTAACCTTCATGCTATTGACATTCAGGCTAAATGACTTTTGTAATTTAGCTGATTAAATTACATCTAGCGCACTGTGGGATGTGTCTCAGATCACTTGTTTTCACTGCGTATGCCAATAGCATCCTTCTTTGACAATAGAAAATGCCTCAGACCTTATCACAGGACTTTTGAGGGTGGAGTTTCATAGCCAGAATGAAAAATGTAGGACATTCAACTAAACCGTCATTTTGTATAAACTAATAATATTCACCATGTTTAATGTAAGCACAAGTAAAAATGTCTTTGCACTAAAAGTATATTTTATCATTATTCACATGTAAGCTGATTTCGAATGTTGTTGGCAGTCTTTATGAACTAAGACTACACCTACCATAGATGAGCACCTTGCCATGCAGAGGAGAAAGAAACCATTTTGTTGCTGTATAAGCATCAAGGTAGAATGCAGTGTGTGTCCCAGACAATCAGCTGAATGTGCAAAGACAACTGTCTACCTTGTCACACATTCCAACAGATGCAAATCTTTGCACAGATGCTTTCAACAGCGAAGAACAACTCAGCTCCATATGTCATTCAACCTAGATCGTGCCACTATTATTAATTATTAATTATACGTGTGTGTGTGTGTGAATATTTTTATCTTTTTCAGATATTCCACATATCATTGTGGCGTTTAATGAAAAAATCTCAAATATCCAAGCCCCCTGTAAACTTCAAATTTGCATTTCGGGCTCTGGTTTTAGACACGGACATACTGGATGCCATCCTAGATGATTCTTCTTTAGGTATTGATTCATTTTCAATATCTGAGTATGGAAGTGATGAATGATTTTCAAAGGGTATGTGCAGCTGTTATATAGCAGAGACAACAGATCTGCTGGGCAGCGATGGAGTTCAAGCCCTCTCTCGGATGCTTCAGGGGCTCCAAGATCTGCCTAGGGGACTTGCTAACCCTTATCATATGTACTTCCAGGGAACCTTGAATTCCTGTATATTTGTCATTGACCTTTGTACTTCCAGGGAACCCTGAATTCCTCTGTATTTGTCATTGACCTACCTGGTACGAATTAAGGAACCTTTGGGAGACACCCCAATCCAGCAGTCTTCCTTCCTTCCTCTTACCACATTTGATTCTCACTATTCTGTTTCCTTTATGTTCTGAGAGAAGCCTCTGGCTACTTTCTGACGGGAATCCAAGGCAGGTCATCAAAATAGCACAGCTTCATCCACGTTCCTTCTGTAGACATTTGCCTAAGCTCAGCGGACAATGTCAAAGGGATGCTCAGTACATCCTTGTGGAATGTTCTGTGTCTGAAGACTTCCACAGTTGCAGGCATTCGAGTGTTGGGGAAAGAATTAACTGTAAATCCCAATCCAATGCTTGTGTTCTCTTGCCAGCGGAATGGGTAGACCTTAAATATTGTATGCCAATAAATGAGAAGGAGTATTCTCCCGAGGAAATAGCTGCTGCAGTGAAAATTCAATCAATGTGGAAAGGGACTTATGTCAGACTGCTCATGAAGGCCAGAATGCCAGGTATGGTTTTCAGATACTTGAAATGGACCCGTGTGTATAGGAATGAGTGTTTCCTTATGTAAGGTGTTTTAGAGTCATCCTGCTTTACAGAACTAATTTATCTATTAAGTACTGAAATCCCCTGAGGCAAGGAGCTGGTTAGGGCTCATTTTCTCATTCTCAGAATTCACCAGTGTCTGAGATGTCAAGATGTCATGCATATACAATGATTATTTGCTGTCAAGGCTGGGACAATGAGGTAAAAGCATGAGGACTGGAGTTCAGATCCCAGATTCCACAGAAAAGTTGTACAGGTGTGATGACCCAACAGCCCCAGAACTTGAGAGGAAGAAAGAGGAGATCCCTGTGACCAGCTGTCCAGCCAGATGAGCCGCATCAGGGAGCTCAGGGTTCTACAAGAGACCCTTCTGTGGTCAATCATTAGAGAGCAACTAAGAAAGACACCTGACATCAACTTCTGGCATCCACATGTGTGTGAACACATGCATGTGTCCATTGTACACATGTGCGTGCGCACACACACACACACTGCTACCATACACTACACATTGAGATAGAATGTACGTTCCATGAATCATTGAGAAAATGATCAGCTTAATTTCTGAGTCTATTGTAAGTTCTTTTCAACCATGGCCAGTTTGGTTGGAACATTTTTCAGGGTTAGTCACCTTCAGCCAAGTAGGTGATTATTGTCTAAATTCAGATTGAATGTAACAGAATGAAGGAAGGACCTCAGCGATTCTGTGCATGATGAGGCTGATGTTAATTTAGAGGCAGAAATGTGTTTCAATATGCTCTAACATTTGTGAAGTGAAATGTTTTCAGGTGTATCAAATTGATTGTGGGAGAAATGCCTATATTATCAGATGAAAATTCAAAAGGTGTATTTATTGGGGAAAATTATAAAGGCCACTCCACATAGTTAAAAGGAAGATTTATTTAGTGGATGACTTACAAATGAAGGAATGGATAGGTTGCGGGGGTCTGGGGAAGGTGTATCGCAATCCAGCGGTGTTCTCTGGAGCTCTGCACAGTCAGTCTCCACCGTCCAGGGTCCAGGCGCAGAGAGAGTGCCCAGAGAGAGCGCTTGCCCATCCAGCTCTCCGGTTTCCATCACCTCCCCTTGCCCCGCCTCGTAGGCGTGACAGTTGCCAGAGTCTCAATGGGGGTTGGAACTTCCAGATCCAAGCTGGAATGGCTACCCACTACATGTATTCAATCATTTTCATCATGTGATAGCCATTGACCTTTTGAGGGGAAAGATTTATCTTGGATAGAACTTTTTAGTTTACTGAAATATTTTGTTATAAAAAATATCTCTATGGGAAACATTTAGTGACAATATTGAAAATTTTGTCTGGGGAGTGAAAATTCAAGATACCCAAAAGTTTTAAAAACATAAGTAAGTAGTTTATACTAGAAAAATATTAAAATGTAGGTATGATATGGCATTCACATAGTTCTGGCACTCAGAAGGATGAGGACAGAAGATTACTAGTGTTAGTTTGAGACTAATCTGGGGTATCATATCAAGAAATAGTAAATAATCTATGAGCATAAAGACCTACATGCCTCCTACAGGGGATTTCAAAGTCTTTACCTGCAAAATGAAAACTGTGCACAAGGCCATTGTTCAGATATCTTATGGATTTAATGTTTATTATTATTATTATTATTATTATTATTGTTGTTGTTGTTGTTTAGAAACAAAGGAAAATACCAGCGTTGCAGATACACTTCAAAAAATTTGGTCGATATTAGAGATGAATATGGAGCAGTATGCACTTTCTCTCCTAAGGTAAAGAACACTTCTAGGCCTCTTCTAGATAAAGAATACTTCTAGATTTCCAGTAAAGAACTGTTTTATATGGCCATAATGGCCTCTATCCCAGATAGCACCTGTGAAAAACATCCAAGATTCTTGGTGCTTTTAAGGCTAGATCTAGATTCAGGCACCTCATCAACTCCCATCCGGTTGTGGAAGATGCCACAGGCTTCCCTGCAGGGGACAAGCAGATGTCATGATTTATTTTAGTCAGTTAAATGAGCCAGAAAACAGAGAGGAAGAAAATTCTAATATTATACTCTCGTTTGTGATCTTAGTTCTTCATCATTGAATTGTCCACACCCCTTGCTCACATTAACTTCACAAGTTCCCTTCCAATTTCTAGTCTCTCTCCGGACCCTTCAGTGGCCTCAACCTAGCTGACAACTGCCTTGCCTGCTTCTACTTCCCCAGCTTTAGAGCTCAACCATCAGCCTCAGTTCCCGTTTATGAGCATTAATTATTCCCTTTGTTGGGAATTGCATTCTCCTTCAGTTAAAATCATCAGACAACTTCCAGTGCCTTTGGAAGTTGAGTGCATGACTGACCTGGAGTGTGCCTCTCTCCCTTGGTACCAGTTGCCACAACTTACACAGCGCCTCTTTGACCTCAGCTGGGAAAACATTGGTATCTGATGTTATCGCTGCCTGGGAGGCCAGCCTCCAGCAGTTCAGGGCTCAAAGGGAAATCCACAGAGTTGGCACATACTAGACTTTCATCTGAGAGGGTTAGAGAAAAAGACACACACTCTCTTGATGGTTTCCTTTAGACCTTTTCTATTTTTCTTTTGTATTCTCTATTCTTTATTTTCCTGTTGATCTCCTCTCAATCTTGATGTTTTCCTTCTAACTCTATCTTTATTCTTGGTGTTTCCCTTCTAGTTCCTTCTAATTCTCTCATTCTTAATGTTTTCCTTCTAACTCTCTCATTCTTGATACTTTTCTTCTAACTCTCTCATTCTTGATATTTTTCTTCTAACTCTCTCATTCTTAATATTTTCCTTCTAACTCTCTCATTCTTGATGTTTTTCTTCTAGTTCATTTTAACACTCTTGTTCTTGATGTTTTCCTTCTAGCCCATTTTAACTCTTTTTTTAAAAAACAATTCTTTAGCTGGGCGGTGGTGGCACACGCCTTTAATCCCAGCACTTGGGAGGCAGAGCCAGGCGGATCTCTGTGAGTTCGAGGCCAGCCTGGGCTACCAAGTGAGTCCCAGGAAAGGCGCAAAGCTACACAGAGAAACCCTGTCTCGAAAAACAAAACAAAACAAAAAACAAACAAACAAACAATTCTTTATCTTATAACTTTTATACCCCAGCAAAATCTCTCAGGCAATGTAAAAATTACAATGTGTTTACATTTTGTTTTTCAAGTGAATGATTACAACGAATAAAAAAAAAAACAGTAAAAAACTGCATGTTTTTCATATCCCTTACATCATTAAATGCTGTATGTATTACAGGTGAAAAACAAATTATCCCAAGAACTCACATTCATACCCAAGCAACTTGTTATAGATGAACTGTGTAGGCAAGCAAGATATTTTTTCTCAGTCAGGTCTTTTACTACAGTTTTGTAGTTACAAAGAAAGAGCCAATTACTTTATTATGTAATTTGAAAGGTAATATTTTTTATTTGTTTGTTTGGTTTTTCTTTTTCGAGACAGGGTTTTTTCATGAAGTTTTTGGGGTCTGTCCTGGATCTCGCTGTGTAGACCATGCTGGCCTTGAATTCATAGAGAACTGCCTGCCTCTGCCTCCCGAGTGCTGGGATTACAGGTATGTACCACTGCCACCCGGTGAAAAGTAATCTTATAAAGGATCAGTCTTATAAAGGATCATAAACCTCAACTTTTATATATGGAAAAGAATTAGTCAGCTCTACTTTAAATCTTCGGGGTGCATCAATTGTTTCTTATATAAGGAGATTGAGGGCAAAGATGGGCACAAGGAATTAATCACCATCTTTGGTCATCAACCAATCCTAGCAAGAGAAACACATCAGATAGTCATAATTGGGCTGCTTTGTTCTTGTTCCCTGACTCTTTAAAGAGTTCTGGATTCAACTATGTGCCTTTCTCAAACTTTAGATTATCTTTGAGTTTTTCACCTCAAAGCTGTTTGACAAAAACTTCTTAGTCTAACTTGGTTATTTTCAAAGCTTTGTTTCAGCTTTGATGCACTCTGAAACCTGTGAACACCTCTCACAACATTAAGATTTGAAGTTAAACTAGCTGGGCTACTGGACTCAATTGTTTTCCTTAATCACTAACCTAAGTCACAGTCTATACAGCTCCTCAATAGAAACTCATTTGCTCTAGCTGTGTGACACTTCCTTGTTTTATTTTTTATAATCAAAACTATTTAAACTAGCATTATTATTATCAATTAGACAGTACAGCTTAAGAGGAAATCATCTTCATAACAATCCACAGGTAAAAAAAGCCCAGTAGAAGGGAATGTTTCCTTGAGGAAAATAGACTATGTTACAGGCAGTGGGGATCTCCCCACACCCATTCACACGATGCCAGATATCAGAGAAAGATGGCAGCAGCAAACATGTAAAGGCACAGCAGAAGCAAAAGCCGCTCTGGGGTTTGTGGTCTTGGGGCCTTGCCTGTCTGAGATTCATCTATCAAGGAGTTGCCTCCTGGTGGGCTGACACCCTAGAGTCAATTGCTCCTCTGATATGGCTACTGGCATGATATTTTGCTATTTTAAGGGCTACTTCTCTCCTGTAAATGAAGTTTATTTTAAAAGTGCTTTGTCATTGATACTCAGTTACTTTTCCATTTCTAGACTAATGTTTAAAAGCAAGTGTAGGTCTATGGAGTCTTACCCATGCTATCAAGATGAAGAAACAAAGGTTGCCTTTGCTGACTACACGGTGAACTATGCAGACCAGCCACCAAATTCTTGGTTTATAGTATTCAGGCAAGTGGAGCATGCAGTGTTCTGACCTGCAGTGTCTGGAGTCAAAGTATGGTTAGCGGTAAAAGTATCAGCCTCTACACAGCTTTCATATTTGGCTAAAACTTTTCCATACATATACATAACATTTTCTACACAAATGATGGGATGTCAGAGAATTTTTATCGATAGTCCTTCCATCAAATTATAAAAATGTAAACAATTTATAGATTTTTTTTCAGTGAATATATTAACATCATAAACCAGTCTGTTTCCAGTATAGTTAGATAGCATTTATTTCCAAGCAATGGTATATCTGGTACAAGTCATGACCATTGTATAAAATGGGAGTTTGCATTTGTACATCAAAATGACACTCATAATAAATTGAAATGGAAAAGATATGCAAGCCTTTTAGTTACTTGCAATTTTAAGGTTTCACAAAGATTCTTTGGGTTTAAATTCTATTTAAAGCATTAAGAGTCACACTAAGAAATGCTTGTGCTTTTGTAATTCTAGAGAAACATTTTTGGTTCCTCAAGATATGATCTTAGTCCCCAAAGTATATACTACACTCCCGATCTGTATTCTGCATGTTGTTAACAATGACACAATGGAGCAAGTGCCGAAGGTGTTTCAGAAAGTGGTGCCTTACCTTTACTCCAAGAACAAGGTAGGTGCAGAATATATCCCCAGATGTTCAAACAGCAGTGAAGAGGAGCCCAGAAGCAAGCACAGGAGCTGAGCTTGCAATCTACCTAGGAGGAAGAGTTTTAGTGAATGCCGCAGCACACTTCACATCCCAGAAAGAACACGTTGTACATGTCCATTGTTGAAACCAAAGCCACATCTGTTTTAAAACAGAAGTGGATACCAGGAGTCCATTTGGTCCTAAAATGAAACAGGCCAGGCTTGTCTCCACTTCACACATAGCCTTTGTTCTGCTCTTACGCATGAGAGGACTGAGATCATGTTCCCAGCCCCCACCCTCGGTCTTCCAAGGTAGTATGACATTATCAGGCCAAGAAGCACTGTAAGCTGCCTGCTGAATGGATGAGAGACCCTGGCCTTCCGTCAGATGTTTCCTCTCTGGGTATTTTAATCTCTTCTTCATGCCTTCAATCACATTCCCCATTAGGGAATCGTGACAAGTATAGTGGACGTAGGCAGCAAACAAAGAGAGCTGCTTTTGCTCCTAACTTCCATTCTTTAGCCCTGTGGTTTTGAGCTTGATCATTTTTCCCTCTGGATTATGGTTGTACTTTTCTTTTGAGGTTCATTTCAGCCTACAATATCATGCATTATTTTATGAAAATTAGATAGACCTGTCTAATGAATGTCTAATTAATATTGACTTCATAAGGATGAAGAATAGATATAAAATGTATTAATTCAATAAGAAACTGAACAGCTCTTTTGAACCACTTTTGAGATTTGAGGAAGCATTTTCTTTTAAACAAAAAAAAATAAAATTTCTTTTTATAATTTTAAGACAAGGCCCATCTATGTAGCACTAAGTATCCTAGAACTCACCATGTAGATCAGGCTGGTCTCAAGTTCTCAGAGATCTGCCTGCCTCAGCCTCCTAAGTGCTAAGGTTAAAGGCATGCACCAACACACCCAGTTAAAATTCTTGATTAAACAACTTAATCCTACTGATTATTTATATACGTATGTATACACATGCATAGTGATACTTTAAAAATTATTTTTAATGAATTTATTAGTTCTCATAATTTTTAAAACTCATGTTTAGTAAACTCAGTTTTTCTATTATTTTTTTCATGAGATAAATTTTCTTGATTTGGGCATCAGATTTTATAAAATTGGAAGATAGTATCAAATTGTACCTAGTACCTTTAATTATTTTTACCTCATATTAAATCAGACAAATATAAAATCTATAGTTTATGGGGCAATCCAATAAACAAATATCTTGTATGGAAGTCATTTGTATTTGATATTATGTTCTGAATCATAATTCAAAAACTTCATATTATTAAAGCCAATGGATCAGTTTTTTTTATCTATATTTAACCATATCATTTTAACTTATGGCCATTATGTTTATCACTTGTTGAAATGATATTCATATTTCCTTTATTTCAGTAACACTTTTCTTTTTCCACACATCAAGTATGCCTTTATGAACTGAATTTAACCCATTGTGTTCCTTCCTGCTCTGTATTCTCCTTCATGGTCTAACAAATGACATTTCATCAAAAATTCCAGGGTTGTGAAATTTCCCTTACCTATGAACGCTACCTTCCAGAGCAGAATGTCTTGTACTAAATCCAGTGGTAGAGAAGAATGCAGGCCTTTCCACAACAAATTTGTTTTTACACATAGACAATTTTTGCATTGCCATTTATCCGACTTAACCTAGATTTATGTTTAAACAGAAACAATTTAATTTGTTATCACAAATATTGATTAAGAAAGCTCAAAAGCAAGGAAATGGTTTTGTCTAGGGCAGTGGTTCTCAACCAAAATGCTTCAACCTTTAATACAGTTCCTTATGTTGTGGGGATCCCCAAGTATCACATTTTCATGGCTGCTTCATAACTGAATTTTGCTACTGTTATGAATCTTAATGTAAATATCTATGTTTTCAATGACCTCAGGAAACCCCTGAGAAAGGGTTGTTCAACCCCCAAAGGGGTCGTGACCCACTGGTTGAGAACTACTGGTCTAAAGGCAGAGTCTAGAAAAATCATAGATGCCATCAAAATCTGGAGATGATTTCTCTTTCACCAAATAAGTTATATTAATATTAGTCATTGATACTTAATTTAGGAAGGGACATTCAAAAAATATTTAATTCACAGGTTTTGGGGTATGTGTGTAGTTTTGAGTTTCTTCTTTGTGTGTGTGTGTGTGTGTGTGTGTGTGTGTGTGTGTGTTTGTGTGTGTGTTTTATCATGGCTTGCTCTCTAAACTAAGGTTAAATCACATGGATTTTTCTCAAGGAGGCAAGTTGAGTCAAAATGTAGACGCACATTCCATCTCCATTTCACTATTATTTCACATGACAAATTCAGATTGTATCCAACACCCCCCACCCCACTCTCCTGTCTCTTCTGCCCTCTGTATCTCTATCTGACTTTTAGGGAAAGAAATGGGAAGGCTGTGCAAGAGAAGCTGACATGTGTGAATGGAGAATTAGCTTTCTGTGGTGCCTTTTTTCCTTTTCTTTTAGTATGGCTTGTCATCTCTTTGTGATTCTCACTCTTTAAATATGCTTGATAATTATTTATGTCCCAGGTAGAATGTGGCACTGAATGTTACCCCAGAACAAAGCTGATGCAAAGAAATCTATAGCTTAAATCTTTGCTCTGTAGTCTGTATTAACACCCTGGGATCTGACAAGCATGGCAACATATGTGTAGCCATATGTCCAGAAAGGAAAAATATATAATATTTCCCAAATGTACTGCATCATAGAAACACTGTTCATAAAATGCATTGGGCCAATATTTCACAAAACTCATCTTGGAAGACACTACTGTAAAGTGAAGCCCTTGTCTTTTTTCTACTAGGCCTTCCTTCCTTCCTTCCTTCCTTCCTTCCTTCCTTCCTTCCTTCCTTTCTTTTTTTTTTTCTGAGACAGGGTTTCTGTGTAACAGGTCTAGCTGTCCTGGAATTAGCTCTGTACACAAGGCTGGCCTCAAACTCACAGAGATCTGCCTGCCTCTGCCTCCTGAGTGTTGGGATTAAAGACTTGCACCAGCACCACACAGCCTACAAGGCATTGCTATCCTTCTGTCTTTACCACTAAATAATTTGCTGTGGCATTAATGAACCATGTTGATGTGATATCTCAGAGATGGTTTCTAGAGACAGGTGAATATCTTTACCTATACAGAGGATGTCTAAGGCTAATGCAAAGAGAAATGAAAATACAGCCCTGGGTGCTACCGAACTTGGTTACCTGACTAGTGCCCTCTTCAAGAGACATCCTGCCCCCAAATGAAATTCAACAGCTTTGTTATTATTTACTTGTATATTAGTTAGATGATCTAATGAAGTTCTTCTTCCTTATCAAGTCATTTTGGCCTGTAGGAGTCTGTTTCATTCCTTTGAATTTTCACAAGGCATCCTTTGATGCTTGATAAGGACTCTTATTGGAATGAGGCTTGTAAATGTATATGCTTCTTCAATTAAACAAACAGTTGTCTCCCTACTTAGGTCATAACTCCTCAAAGATGGAACAGTGGGCTTAAGGGCACTGACTTGTGAGATTTCTCAGAGTTTTTTCTTTACAGCACTGAGGATCTAACCCAGGGTTACACACACGCTAAGCCAGCATCCTACCACTTGGATACATCCTCAGCCCTAAGCTGATTATTTCTAAGGATTTTAAACATAACATTATTGGCTTGATGATTTTGGGAGATATTGGACCTATGGGGAGCATATTTATTATGATAGCAAATTTCTTTCCATGTGTGGACCACGTATTTGAGAGCCTCATGGCAGTGTGAATCCTATGTGTGTGGTTGCCTTCTATTTTAGAAAGGCTACACATTTGTGGCTGAAGCATATACTGGGGACAACTACGTGTCAGGCGCACGGTGGAAACTGAGGCTCATTGGCTCTTACAACCCGCTTCCATTTCTTTCCCGAGATGCTCCATGCAACACCTTCACCATAAAGGAAATCAGAGACTACTACATTCCTAATGACAAGAAAATCATGTTCAGGTACAAGTATAGAATAAATGGATAAAGATGTTCTTAAAATATTTTTTATTAAAATGAATTCATACTTCTGAGGGCATTAAATTTTAATTTCTGTAAATTTATGGAAATAACTAATTAGCACTAGCATGGCTCAATCAAACCTATACAGTTTCAAATGATGCTAATACCCTTTCTTAGGCTTTGATTTACTTCACTGTCACTGAAGATTCTTTCTGGTCTCCTAAGGCTATTTGACATTCTCCTTGCCTTACCCTATCTTTGGCTACTCTCTGGTTGGGTATGTGTGTGGGGGAATCCTTGTTTATCACTCCAACCTTCTTTTCATACTCACCGATTCATTCCCCTTGAATTGGCCTAGTACTGGTCCCACTTTCTTTCATTAATCGTGTCTGTGGATTCTAATTTGGACGTACCCCAGCCTTGGCATGTGTCTCCCCCTCTCTTCTCAATGCACCTGCACAACTTCAGGGTCTCCATTAGGTTTGTTACATAAAGTTGTTGTTTTTGGAATCTAGAACTCTGTTATGTTTGTTTTGAGACATTGCACGGTCACTCTTCCTTCTTAATTTTTGTGTCTTTACTACTAACATACATATTTGTTCCAGGTGCCATTCCTGTGGTAAACATCTTATGTAATGTATATACATTTTAGCCAATTATCTGTTCCTCAGCCTCTATGAGAAGCAATGTTTTTTAACTTAGTTTTATTGAAAGTAGATTCTTCTCTCATGTAATGTATCTGACCAAAGGTTCCCCTTCCTCTACTCCTCTGAGTTCCCCTTCCCAACTCTCTTCTCCCCCAGATTCATTCACCTCTGTTTCTTCAGTAAAGAGCAGGCCTCCAAGAGATGACAGTCAAGCTAACTGAAGGCCAGACACATGTCCTTTAAACATGGGGACTAGCACTGTGCCCAATGCATTGTTGGCCTGCATTAAATATTTTCTCTTTTTAATAGAAAATGTTCTCCCCCGTGAATTTAGAAAACACATTAAATATATGTGTCATTTGTAATCATACAACCAACAAACAGTCCTAGTTGACACTTTGTTCTTGTTTCTTATATCATTTCTTTCTGGTCATAGTTTACCACTTTTAAAATCATGACAGTGAGAACTTTGTGGTTCTGACATTTCATAAAGTGTTATGTAGTGGTCATTTATCAATAATGTCAAGATGTCTTTAGCTGCTTTATGACTTCCAGTAGTCAGTCATGTGAATACTCAGTCATTTACTTGGTTTAATGCTACTCCTTATGGTTAAAGCCACGATGGACATGATCTATGGTGCCCAGTTAAAAAAAGTACCCTATTATTTTCTAGGTTTTATTATATTGAAGAGCTATTTTTAAAGGCACCATACATTGGTGAGTTGATTTTCAGAGGGAAAAAACTAAGTCTTATTGATAAAATTTGACAAATAATAATACTCTGCCTGATTTTTTTCTATAATTCTTATTCAATACAAAAGCTTTCCTCCTTAAAACTGCAAAAAAATTGAATCAAAACTGAATAAGCAACAACACTAAAACACAAAACATAGTATAACCCTATGCTCATATTTAAGCTTTATACATGAATATATTTTAATTTAATTAATTTAAGTTTTATACATGAACCTAGGTAAAGACATAAAAAACATTCTGCATGAAAGCAGACTAAAATGGGGATTTGCCTATCAATTTGTCTTCCTGTAACATATTTTCTTTTTCTTTTTTCTTTTCTTTTCTTTCTTTCTTTCTTTCTTTCTTTTTTTTTTTTTTTTCGAGACAGGGTTCTCTGTGTAGCTTTGCACCTTTCCTGGAACTCGCTCTGTAGCCCAGGCTGGCCTCAAACTCACAGAGATCTGCCTGCCTCTGCCTCCTGAGTGCTGGGATTAAAGGCGTGCACCACCACCACCCGGCCTGTAACATATTTTCAACATTGCCTATAAGAAATAAAATAAGAAAAAAGGAGATCAAAAACTAAAAATGGAATGATTAACTTGTTTGCTAGTGTGACTAGTTTATTAGCTTGACTGGTTTGTTTACCAGAAGCCATGGAGCCATATTGAGGCCATTTACAGACTAAGAAGCAGTATTTAACCTAGAACTAAGTTAGTCTGACTGATATCATTTATTTCAGATGAGGACACAGGGCAGAAGCTAATTTGCAAGGTAGTCAGTAGGAAGAGTTCTTGCTTGTGAATATTAGTAACAGTCACATGATCCTAGAGAGACAGCTGAGCTCGAGGCTTCCATTTAGGACCTTTGATTCCATTTGAGCTCATGGAGACCCTGGGAAACTGTAGGATGAATGTTGTTTCCAATCTATGAATGAGAGCACAGCATTGCTTCTCTGATGTGTGTGGGATATCAGTGGCAGAGGTGCTTGAGAAAGCAGATCTGAAGAGAAGGGACAGTGTGAAGTTGCTTTGCTCAGGAGCAACCCGTGTCTAAAAACAAGACTTGGAGGATCCCTTCAACCCTGATAAACAGACTCTTCCAAGAGCCCAGAAGATAAGACTAAAAGTTTCCATGTCAGAGGTACACATGCTTGGAATCCTGGCCAGTGTAAACTAAGATTCTGGGTCAGTGCTGAGCAAGTGATTGGGAGATGAATTGATGAGAAGAGCCAAAGGGGGGTTACTCCAGAGAGGGGCCCTTGGGAGGGAAGGCAGGTTAGTCTGGAGTGCCAAGGGATGGATATTGCTGGTTTGCTTCTTGTTTTATTTGCGTCCGCTTAGAAAAAAGAAAGCCTACCGGGTCTTGGGCATTTGTGAAGAATTACTAGAGAGAGAAAACAGCAAAAATACAAAACAAGGGCCAGAAAGATGACTCAGAGGGGTAAAATGCTTGCCACACACAATGTGTAACCCTGGCAACCTGAGTTCCCTCCCAGAAATCCATGTAAATGTGGAAAGAGAGAATCAAATAACACACACACACACACACACACACACACACACACACACACACA